AATAAATCAATTTATGAACAAAATAAAAAATTATAATATATTATAAAAAAAATAAAACCCAAATTATATATAAAATAAAATTAAAATTAAAATTACATAAATGCCTCTTTTTCAATCTCCTTCGATCAATCTTCTTCTTCAATCTTTTTCTAAATTCTTCAATGCTCTTCAATTTTGACAAAATAAATTAAATAAAAAATTTAATTAAAAAATATAATGAACAATAAACAAAATGATATAAATATATCGAAATTAAATTATATAAAACAATTACCTATATTAATAAAATTACAGAATTTGAAAATTTTTTGAGAGATTTACAGTGGAGTGGGTGGAGGTGTGAAACAATGAAGGAAAGAGAGAAGGAAACGAAGAAGAAACAGAAGCGCAAGGATATGGATTTGTGAACAAGAGTGCTACGTATATACGTCACGGAGCGACGTGAAAATCACGTCGCAACCTTGCCACGTGAGATACACGTCGCAACACACCCAACAGACAAAATATTATTCGTTCAGTCTGCCATACTCTGAACCAAGTCAATTTTAAATCAGATATTTTTCCCTTTAAATGTTGCGACGTGATAATCACGTCACAATTAAATTTTTTAAAATTTTCAAAAATCTATTTAAACGTTAGAGTTTTTTTTATAATAATTTTTTAGTTGCGACGTGAATCTCACGTCGCAAATATTTTTATTTAAAAAAAATTCTGAATTCTACCATATTAACGTTATATTTATTTTTTTAATATTACAAATTTTAATGACGATTATTATGTTACAATAATTTTTTTAATCACATGATAATTACGTCACAACTTTATATTATTAGAGATATTTTTCTTTCTGATAGTAAATCTGCTTTGCATCCGAGTTGTAGAGCTATGGCGATATTTAAAGAGATAAAAGAAAAAGATCGAATAAGACTTTTCTTCTAAATATTCACACTAGTACTAATGGACCTTCACACATGCCCAACTTTCAAAATGAAGTTGTGAATGAACCATAATAAAATGCTTTAAGAGTGTTTCGAGTGTTTTAACGTGAATGGCGAAAGAAACTTCAAATGTTTAATTAGGGTCTGTACGATTTAGGGGCGATGGCTTATTAATTTATCGAAATGAATTATTTCAAAATTAATTGGTCAACAGAAAATTACTATAATCCATATTGGCGTCTAAAATTGCAAGTGATTAATTTTTACTCGATTCTACTTCAAGATAATTCTAGTGAGAGAATTTACTAAAAAAAAAACCATTAAAGAAGAGCATAATTGATCCCTTGTTCACCTATTAATGGTAATAGAATTTCAAGAACATCCTAGACAATGGGAGTAACAACAAAAAAAACAAATCTACTCGAACAAAACTCCATTATTTATAATGACAGAGAAAAAAACCTAAAGTCTGGTAATACCAAAAATTTGGTCTGTTACAGTTGGATACAAACTAGAGCAACAAGACCACGTGGCAAGTCGAAAGAAAAGAAACGTGTCTAGGAGTGGCTGATACACAACCACAAACGAAAATAGCCAAAACTAAACCAAACAGTGTCACAATTTCACACACAATCTACTACTTAAAGCAACCGCAACGAATTCCAACACCAGAAGTCACACATTACAATTCACAACACGCATCTAAAACACACACAAATCACTCAGTACTATCTTGATACTTTTCAAGCTCAAACTTAGAAGCAAAAGCTAAAGAAGAATCTTATACATCACTAGTAACAAGCAAGCAATAGAGTAAAGCATAATAAAAAGAACCTCTCTTGTCTTCATTATTCATCAAACAATACTCTTTTATTCTTGTTTGAATAATAAACACGTAACCTTGGTTTATTCTTTTGGTGTCCGCAAAAATTGGATCTAGCTCAGGAACATGGATACTCTAACAACTACTCCTTTGCTTACTTCTAAGTTCAAACCTTCGTTTTCTCCTCAACAAAATCCTCTTCTTCTACATAGAAGACAGTTCGGGAAGAAGAATCAATCATTTGTTCCTGTATGTTTTTCTGTTTTTCTTTTTTTGGATTTTTTAACAAAAAGTGTTTTGTGGATTTTAATGTTACTTTGTATTTGTTGGTTTTGTTTGGAAAAGGTTGCTAGGTTATTTGGACCAGCTATATTTGAAGCTTCAAAACTTAAGGTTTTGTTCTTAGGAATTGACGAAAACAAACACCCAGGAAATCTTCCTAGGACTTATACGTTAACTCATAGTGATGTTACCTCAAAACTCACTTTGGCAATTTCGCAAACCATAAACAACTCTCAGGTATTTCCCTTGGTTTTCATTCTTATCAATATCATCATAAACCATATGAAAAGAACAACAAAAGAGGAACACAAAACAGGGTCGAAGAGGTGCACAATCACATGTTAGTATTGATTTTTAGGGATACAAAAGTATGCTACAAACGTGTAAATTGGATTGCAGTTGCAGGGATGGTACAATAGATTGCAAAGAGATGAGGTGGTTGCGCAATGGAAAAAGGTGAAGGGGAAAATGTCTCTGCATGTTCACTGTCACATTAGTGGAGGCCATTTTCTTTTGGATATCTTTTCTAGACTTAGATACTTCATCTTCTGCAAAGAGTTGCCAGTAGTAAGCATTTTCTTTTTTGAGTTTGTGGAATACTCTTCTGAACTAGTATGTATTTGTATACTGTACTCTTAGTATATGATGTTTCTGTGTGTCCCGTGTCCGTGTCTGCTTAATACTCATGTAAGTATAGTGAGTTAAAATTTGAAATATAGTGTATGGTGTTCTTGTCTATCTAATGAGTATTCATTTGAAATCTAGTGTCCGAGTCTGATTTGATCTTAACTAAGTGTTTGATTTGATTTGATTAGGTGTTGAAGGCTTTTGTTCACGGTGACGGCAACTTATTCAACAATTATCCGGAATTAGAGGAGTCATTAGTTTGGGTATTTTTTCATTCAAAGATTCCAGAATTCAACAAGGTAGAATGTTGGGGTCCACTAAAGGAGGCTTCACAACCTACTAGTGGGGCCCACTACGATTTGAAACTACCACAATCTTGTGAAGAAGATTGTGAGTGCTGTTTTCCACCGTTGAATTTAAGCCCAATTCCGTGCTCTAATGAAGTTATTAATGATACTTATGAAACTATTGATGGAATTGGAACCCAACATGGTAACTTGTAAACACACGATACTCTTGTTGCTTCGTCTATACGGGACTTTATGTGGGGAAAATCTAAAATCCTTTTCAATGTAAATAAATAGTGATGTTTGGGATTATTCTTAGTTTTTTTTTTTTTGTGTATGATTTTTTATTCATGAAAGTTAGGTCTTGTATTGTATATATTTTTATTTATACACAAAAAGTGGTTTTATATAGGAATTGAAAAGACATTTGTAAGATTTAAAAATGAATATCCTTCTTATTTTTGTAAGGTATTAAAAATGAATGTCCTTCTTATTCTTAATGAAAGAATTTACTATTTTTAACTATATATTTTTGTTAGAGATAGAAGAATGAAGAGATGAGATTGTATTATGCAAATTTCGCTTGCATACTTCATTGATTTATACAAGAAAGACTTCAATCCTTTTATGTATACATGCAATTGATTCATACAAGAGAGACTTCAATCTTTTTATATATACATGCAGAGTTTGTTGTAACTATTATGGTCATGCAATCTTCACATGTTCAGTTGTATGACTTTCACTTAATATGTCCTCTTAAACTCATGGTATGTCCTCTTAAACTCATGGAAGGATCGAAAGTATACACCTTGAATTTGTCACGAAATGAAGAGAACATGATTATTGAGAGTGGCTTTTGTGAGATTGTGAGAGCACCGGTCAGTTGAGCATGTGTTAGAACATGTTGTATCAACTTTCTCAGAACATGTTGTATCTGAAGTTGATTGATAACAACTTTCTCACGTACGAAGTTTATGTTTAGTTTTATGTGTTTGGTTTGTGATTACTGCACCAATGTTGTCATAAAAGAAGGTAGGAATTGAGTGCTCGATTTTGAGCTCTGAGAGAAGTGATTGAAGTCATAGGAGTTCAGTTGTAGTGTGTTGTTTCAGTGCTTGATCTTAATACCTACTTGTTAGAGCTCCATATTACGAGATTCAGATCCAAGAATACACACGAGCTAGATGTGGAACGTCTGTCATTGGAGTTACTGGCTCAGTCTAAGTCATTATGACATATAAATAACCGTGTGAGGTGTGGTTGGTGCTAGGCGAAGACCATATGAAATTGTACCACTCAAGTATCGTAATATGCGCTTGACAGGAGACCGGTCCGGTGAGATTCCAACAGTGAGGCCAGGAATTGGCACACTTTATTTACTAAGAAAGTAATGTCTGGTCGCGTAAGGATGACATATTGTAAGGCACCTACAGTGGATCGATAGAGGAAGGGGTCTGGAAGAATATCAGTACCATATTTGTTGAGCTTGCATTGATTGAATATGGGAGTAGCAACTCATTTTGTCTTAGTCATATTCACTTTGAAAAGTAAGTCTTTAATGTATTTTGTTTGAGTGAGCAAGAGAGTGCCTTGAGCCTGTTGGTGGACCCTAATGCTTAGAAAATATCGAGGAGTGCCCAGTTTCTTAAGTACAAACTTGTCGTGGAGTTTATCGATTAGAACATGGATAAGTTCAGTGGATGAACTAATGACAAGGATGTCATCCACAAAAAATAACACAAATAATGTGATATTATGGTGATTTTAGACAAAGAGAAAATGATCACAACGAACAAAACCAAATTGAATGAGTGCATGGTGCAGTTTTTCATATCATGCACGTAGATCCTGCTTGAGGTCATAAATTGATTTCTTGAGTTTGCAAACCATAATAGAATCAAATGTCTAGAATCCTGGTGGTTGATCCATGAAAACTTCTTCTTGCAAGTCCCCATTGAGAAATGCATTGTTGATATATATCTGCTGAATTTTCCATTTGAGAGTAATTACCAAAGTCAAAATGACTTTGATGGTTGTGGGCTTGATGGCTGGTGAAAAAGTTTCATGAAAATCAAAGTTATGTTACTGATGAAAACCCTTGGCAGTAAGTCTGGCTTTGTACTTGTTAGAACTTTTATCGGAATTCTCTTTAATCTTGAAGACTCATTTGTAACTTCTTTTAAACCTCTACATAATTTACAGATAATTTAATAAGAAACCAGCACACAAGAGTGTCACACGTCATAATAAAACATCAAAAAAATACAATCCTGCTTCGTAACACAGATTACATCAGTAAAATTCAAACTTCTCATAACATACACCTTTAAGGTGATCATGCAACTTCAACACATCCTTTTAAAACAACATAGCGGAATTATCATCAAAATAACATTCTTAACTTTCAAGCTCATAGCATTTAGTCTCATAAAAGATTTGAAATTAAAAGTAGTTCAACAATGTAAAATTCTTGTAAAATATGTCAAAATAAAAGAAATATAACATCCAAATCAAGCGTTCCCAACTCAATGTTACATATCAGAGCAAGACATCTCCAAATAACGGAAATCTACTAAATAATATTGAACAACTAACTTCAATACTTCTGTAAGCTACTCTTGAGTATCTGCGTGTTACACGTGTGGAGGAAATATTCAAACAAAAAGGGTGAGTAATCACAATTCATTATAAAAGTTATAAGGAAAGAATAGTAAGTACAATGAACATCATTATTATAACAACATATAGCATTATTAACAATTCAAGGTTCACACCCATACATCATAGTTAACACACATCCAATTTTCATCATAAAAATCATCATATAATCAATTAACATCACAACAAATCAACACATCTCACGTCATCAACAAATCTATGCAATGTCATATAAATGTTATACACAACACTAACTCAATACACATAGTACCAATATGAACATTTAGATTCATTTCACTCCTTGATTCCTACTATAGGATCGATTCTCTCTTAGAATTAGAGTATACTAAATCATTACCATCACCATAGGTAACACTTCGCTAAATCCCCGGATAGAGGATCTAGCTACTCGCACTTGAACCGTTACCATAAGAAATAAGGCCACGTTATAAGTTAGAACATAAGTTCTATAACATGGATGCATGATTCACAATATGCAACAACAACAACATCACATATAAGCTCGACCTCGGCTAGTCAAATGCATCTTCAAAAATATCATCATCATTAACATAGTATATATATATATATATATATATATATATATATATATATATATATATATATATATATATATATATATATATATATATATATATATATATATATATATATATATATATATATATATATATATATATATATATATATATATATATATATGCACATCATTAAAATATCATCACAATATCATCATTAATATTATAATACCACCATTAATATCACAACAACACCATTGCAACAACACTCAAACTTCATCATTTACAATAAGACATCATGGCGCAATATATAATTACACACCTTACAATACTATTACACATCATTTAAATTATTTCTATAAATATGAAACTATTTTTAAATGAAAGTAAGTTGTCTCAGCTCTCTACAGCTTCAAACGACGCGTCAATCGGACACTCGATACTAAAGTTATGAATTTTTAAATTTTTACAAAATTCTGTCAAAACAACGATAATCGATTACGCCATATCCCGTAATCAATTACGGCCCCGAAAACAAGCCAGAAACCCATTTTTCAAGTGGTAATCGATTAACCATATCCCGTAATCGATTACACTTTCGCAAACAGACCATAAACTCATTTTTTAATAGTGTAATCGATTACCCATATCCCGTAATCGATTATACCTGCAGCAGAAGCACTTTTCTGCTGCTTATCAGCATGAAAATCACTTTTGAGCCATCCCAAAATCTCATTTTTCTTACAAATCATTTAGGTTATATTTTAATACGGAAAATCACTTTCAAATGTTTTAAACCCCAAATGATTTTCACCAAACGCACTTATAACTTAGTTCCGACTCTAACTTACAACCACACACAACGATACAACATTTACCATCAACAATTCCATCAAATACATAATTTCAACAATAATATTATACAATTTACCATTCATTCATCGATCACAACATCATCATACAAATAATAGATTCAATTTATGGCATATCAAACATCATTATCAACAATTACATCATGGTATTCATCATCCATCAACACATACAACAATACCCACTTCTACCCTTCTATCATATCAACCATAATAAACCACAATTACCTCCTTACCTCGTATTCCTAGCGATTGATTTCTCTTCAAGCTCTAATGGAGAATCTCCTCTTGGTTCCTCTGTGCCCTAGCCTTTTTTCTCTTGTTTCCCAGTTTTTCACGTACAACACAAATGCAGTTCCTTTTCCTTATTTTCCATTTTCTATTAAAATTATCCTCCTAAATTATGTTTTTCCCATCACGCCCTCACTTACTCACATACACTTACCCTTATGCCCTTAGTTTCTCTCCATCATTCTAATATTCTATTATATTATTATTATTATTATTATAAATCACTTAAACTACTAATTAATTAATCTAAAATAATTTCTAGTCATCATCTACATTTCACTACTAAACCAACAACATAACAACATTAATCACACAATACTTCATGAGTAACTCAATAATTCACTAATATTCATAAGTAAACACGTAAGCATCATAATTCTAAATTTAGGGTGTTACACCACTCGCACCCAATTGTTTTCTTGTGAGATGGTAAGGTGGTGATAACACATATGTCATTCTTCAACAAGGACTCATACTCATTCTTCATAGACCAAAGCAATGAGGTTAAGTGAGGGCTTTCTTGATTCTACTAGGTTCTGCATGAGCCAAAAGCACTTTGGGTTTAAAGATGCCAAGTTTGGCCCTTGTGATCATAGGGTAGGCATTTTATGCAAGAGGAATCGGGGAAGGTTGATCATGAAATGAGGGAGATAGAGTGTGGAGACTTCACGAGGTATATGGCTAGGAGTATTTACCTTGGGAGTCACGTTATGGATGGAACTATGTGAAATTGACTTGGGGACTATGATATTAGGTGTAGATGTGTGATTATCATGAGGATTGTATGGGGATTTAAGGGTTAAGATAAATTTGAATAATTGGTTTGTGCAGTAGGCACACTAAATGATGAGTTTGT